TGCAGGCACCCACCACCATGCCTGGCTAATTTTTGTATTTTTAGTAGAGACAGGGTTTCACCTTGTTAGCCAGGATGGTCTTGATCTCCTGACCTCGTGGTCTGCCCACCTCGGCCTCCCAAGGTGCTGGGAACTACAGGTGTGAGCCACCGTGCCCTGCCGATCTTTAAACATAGCCATAAAACCTGGAACTGAGCAAGGGGGAAAAGGATGACCTGTGTGTGGCCACTGTTACCAAACCTGTGCATTTAAGGGCTCAGGAAACTTACCTGGTTTTCCTTGTACATCATTGGCTGTCCTTTCTTATTCTCTGTTGCTAGTTCTTCCTCTCCGCTTGTTCTGAACAGTGCGTGCCGTAGGAGTCAGTCTATGGACCTCTTCTCTTCTATAGTTGGTTTCTCCCTTGGGAATCGCATCCAGTCTTATGGCTTCAAATACCACCTATCTGCTGTTCCTCTCTATTTCTCCTCTATAATCCACATTTATATATCCAACTGTCTCCTTCACATCTCCACTTGGATATCCATTAGGTACCTAGAACTAAAGTCTGAAATTCAACTTCCTCATCTTCCCTCCAGCTTACTTTTCAAACATCTCAGGGCGACTCCCATTTAGCAATTACTCAGGGCAAAATCTTGACTCCTCTTTGCCACACACAGGTAAACCTTTAGATTATATTCTCTGGGATCCTCTTTCATTCTGTAGACTGGTTTCTGTATGTGACTAGACTTTTTGAGAATAACAACCCTTCTTCAGCCAAAACAATTTGCTGTAGTATTTGGCTACACACACACATACCCACCCACCCACTACAATCTCAAGATTTCTATATTTTTCAAAAATGTTGGTAACATGTAATTCTCTAATACCATCATCTTTGGCACTGATTCCGTTTAGATTGGAATTTCATATGGTGAAACCGTGATAAGATTTCATGCAATCCAGTGATGTTCAAAGTAAGATGGCACCAAATTTGACATACATGGTGTTGGCATGATTTCTATCCAACCAACTACCTTTCTGTTGACTTATTTCATGACTCAAAACTGTATTAGAAAATGTGATAGACCCATTTGCTAATGCTTCAATTAAAAGGGCCTTATTTTAACTATGCATATGTTATTTTAGTTTGAACTGTTATTTGAATAATCTCCCAAATATGTGTATAACCTTTTCCTGTTTTTCTTCTTTCTACCTTTGGCCAGCATTACTTAGAGCCTCCAGTGAAGCTGAATGAAGCTCTAGAGAGATACGGACTTAATGCTGAAGATTTTTTTGTCTTGAAGCATGGAGAATCAAGATACCTAAATACTGATGATGAAAACTTTTAATAAATGTGAGCACAGGCACTTTTAATGAAAAAGGCATCATCTGAGTTTAAAAACAAATGAAAAGACTTAGAAATTCATGAATATTGTGATTCTTTTACATTTGGAAACAACTTCTGCAAGTTTATGTTTTATGTTTTGTGTAATAACTTGCTTCCTAATATCATCAGCTCATATACACTATGAGAGGGTTCAGGGGTGGGTCATTTAAATAATGAATTGGCTAATGTGAATTTTAAATCTCCTATCATGATATAAGCACTGCAATGGAAATGTTTTTACTAAAGCATTACACTTTTGTGGTAGTAGAATTTCCTGAGATTGTGAAAAACTGATACTGAAGACTCATTTTGTTTTTTCCATTCTTCAGGACCTTCTGCAAGGTGAGTCAAGCCTGTCTACCCACCTAGATTTTCTTCAGAGGCCTACAAATACAAGTATCTTTCTTATATGCACATTATAATAAATGATGAAATTCAGTCCAACATGCTTATTATAAACAGCAATTCTTGCTCTATCAAGATTAGCTTATATGCCAAATATTAAATATGGCTTATTTCAGTAAGCATAAAAACATAGGGGCTATCATTTTTAAAGACTTGATTTTTTCTGTTGTGGTAAAAATATATAAATACGTATTTGCCATTTTAAACATTTACCATTTTAACCATTTTTAAGTGTACAGTTCTTTCGCATTAATGCACCCATGACCACCATTCACTTAAGTTTTTGAAAGAGGGAACAGTATATTTTTTTTTCCTAGAGCCTTCAGATGAGAGGAAACAGTGTATTCTGTTGCACATCTACAATTCCCAAAAGACCTCTTACTTTGGGAGGCCAAGGTGGGTGGATCACTTGAACCCAGGAAGTCGACATCAGCCTGGGCAACATGGTGACTTCGTCTCTTGGGGGGGGAAAAAAAAATTAGCCGGGTGAGGTGGTGTGTACCTGTAGTCACAGGTACTTGGGAGGCTGAGGTGGGAGGATCACTTGAGCCCAGGAGGTAGAGGCTGCATTGAGCTGTGATTATACCACTGCACTCCAGCCTGGGCGACAAAATGAGACCCTGTCTCGAAAGAAAGCCCTCCTCTTAGCTGAGCAGAGAAGGGAAGGGGTGTGGCTCTGAGAATATGATTTATGCCATTTTCTTTTTTTAAATCTAGAAGATCTTGTAAGCACAAATATAGCTACAATGAAGTATTTTACAGATAAAATGTTAATGTTAATAGACCATATACTTTGAATTAAATTTTATGTTTTTAAATTTCTCTACACATTTTCTTTTTCCGGGGTCTCTTAGCTCTAAATATATCAATCAGATTTATAATTTTTTTTACATGATTCAGATGTCTTATATTTTTATATTAAATGAACCTTAAGCATGATTCTTTTGGTAAGCCAGTATGAACACCAGTGGTTACAAAAAAAAAAAAAAAAGTCAGTTGACGTAAGATTTAGTCCTAATAAGGGCTCTGTATTCACTTGATTATTCTGACCCTTCCTAAGGGAGGGAGTTGGATTAGATACTGCTGGAGGCCCATTCTGTATTCCTAATCCAGTCTCAGCACTTTATTCATACAAAATAATCAAAATAGGTTTTCTACACCAAATGCTACCCAGGCAGTGCTCTATAATTTACACGTGTATGTGTAGTGCCACACATTAGCCACTAAATCTGAACTTTTACCCTGCTTTCATCATGGATTTTTTGTGTAACCTGAAACAAGTCACCAATGCTCACTGTGCCTGTTTCCTCATTTGCAACAAGAGGATAATTCCGACCTACCTCTGAAAAATGTGTAGAATAAATGAGTTTTTAAAGCACTTTAGAAATATAAGGGAGAAAATCATTTCTTAAGATATCACTGCCTAATATAGATAGGTATATTTGAAAGCTGAATATAGGTTAATGCTTTTGATAATGTATTGTTCCTGTTGCAAATTTAAGCATCATATATTAGGAGACTAAACACTGAAAACAACTTTATTTCACTGATTTTGTAAATTGGAGTAATAGCCTAAATAAGTGTAAATAATCTTTATCAAAATTTAGTGTTTATCTACAAAGATGCGAATCAGTCAAGGGGAAATGTGTATGCAATGTGTGTATATATAATGTATGCGATTTTGGGGTACTAAAGCACAAAAAAATCCCCCATAAAATAAACCTTCCTGAAAAGACTGATCATAAACTTTTTCACTTCAAGCAGATGTGAGTCAAGATGTTAGGTTTATGGTTAGTTTTGAGGTGTGTTGCCCTAATACTAGCCAACTTTGTAGCCATATTCCTTGCTGCTGCACACCGAATTGAAAATCCATCTCTTACCTCTACTCTATGAAGCAAGCCAGGTATGTCTTGCTTAAGTATTTCTTCTCCATGAATGGCCTTAACATTATTTTGTATTCATATGTACTGTTTAACTGAGGGCCTCAAAGCACTTTAAACTGTTGTGTTCTATTTCCACTCATCTGGCCTGCCTCATTTTTCTAGGCCCTTTCATAAGCTGTAATTTTTTATTACCACTCATGTTCTTTCTACACTGACACTATTCATTAAGAATGTCAAGCTTCATCTCTACTTACAGAAATCTCACCTTACTGAGTGGGTTCCACTTTATTTTTCATTTGTTGTCTACATTTTGAAGGGCTTATGTACAAAGTGAAAACAAATTTTGAAAAGTAAGACAAATCCATTCTCTTTTTCAATTCAGTCTAATATGCATTGTAGTGTCGTTTAATCAGTCTTATCCTCTAAGTCAACTTTATTTTCCTCTTTGATTAGTGAGTACCCATACCAATATGTAAGATTTTATTGAAGTTTCCTGCGATAACCAAGGAACACTTTGCTATGCCTCACTGCCCAATAGGGTGGGTCATCAATTAGGAGAAATCCCAAATTATAAAAGCCAACATATGCCATGACCTACATAGGAAAAGATGTATTTGTGCATCTTCTTTCTGGGTAGTTAAAAATTACTCCCTCTTTTCTCTAGCATTTTGACATTTCAGACTCAATGGTCTGATCTCTAGGGAGCGTGATTATTCAAACTAATGAGAGAGGACAAGACAGTTTTAGAATCCACTGCTGCTAAAGCACATTAAAAACAAATCCTGGTTTTCAATGTATGCACATTTTCATATCTAATTAATATGCGTTCATTAAATAGGGAGGTAAATTTGAAAAAACTGTTACAAAGAAATGTGCCTTTTGGGGAATGCATACTTTTGTTCACGTCTAGCCCACTGGGAATTTTCAGTTTTCACCTTATACTGACCCCTTTTTCTAATGTAAAAATATTCCTTCAAAGTTTGATTTCTGTATCAGGATAACCTTGAGAACACACATATTTCTGTTTGAGGATTTGTGACTTCCTATGGAAACAGTCTTGTATCTATGTATTTACAAATGAAATTTAAAGTATTCTTAAAGCTTTTGCCTTAAATACTGCTTGCATACTGATTTACTTAATGCTACGCATGGCAGGGGTTATAAATTTAAATATTATAAGACCTGGCTGAATCCCAGATGTATCAATAAATTGTTATAGTAGCTTATGGAATAAAAATACTATTAAAGATAACTTTTCATACATTGTATTTTTAGTCAAGTAAAATATGGATGAAAATTAATAAAGTACTGTCAAGGGAAACAGTATGTATAACCTTGTGAGTGATTTTTTTCCTCTTTATTAAAAAAAGATTTTATAATTTGGGCTCATAGTAAAAAATTCAAACAGTAGAACAGTGTGTATGTAGAAGGCATTCCCCACTCCCACTACAAGAGTTTGGGTATCATTCTAGAAGTGTTTTGTCAATACATAAGCATTTTTCATTTAAACACACACACACACACACACACACACACACACACACACACACGATCCCATATTCTATAATTTGTGTTTTTTAAAAAAACCACCATATTTCATAGATAGCTTTCCACTTAAGCACATTCAGAGTTCCATCATTCTTTTTTTTTGAGACACTGTTTTGCTCTTGTTGCCCAGGCTGGAGTGCAATGGTGCGATCTCAGCTCACTGCAACCTCTGCCTCCTGGATTCAAGTGATTCTCCTGCCTCAGCCTCCCAAGTAGCTGGGATTAACAGGCATGCGCCACCATGCCCAGCTAATTTTGTATTCTTAGTAGAGACGGGGTTTCTCCGTATTGGTCAGGCTAGTCCCAAACTCCTGACCTCAGGTGATCTGCCCGCCTCAGCCTCCCAAAGTGCTGGGATTACAGGCATGAGCCACTGTGCCTGGCCTCCATCATTCTTTTCCAAGACCAGAAAATTTATTTAACCAACTGTCTAAAGATGGACATTGTGATTGATCCCACTATTTTATATATAACTTACTTTACATATTGAACAGTGAAGGGGAGTGGCTGAGTCCTAGGAAACATTCTCTCCTAAAAGTTTACATTTTTCACTGACTAGAAGTGACCAAAATAGATTATACTGACGAGAAAAGACTTTTGAAAGCAGTATGGTCAGGTTGGCAGGTGAGTGGCCTCAAGAACTTAGGATTTCACTGCTACTAAAAGAACAAGCTATGATAGTTCTGAAGCAACGATTTAGTCAAATACTGATGCTGTCTCAGATGAGTAACTGCAAATCACTTCAAAAAATAGAAGGGTAGCTTAAATGTGAAAAAGGTTACTGCCACTTCATATAGGGAAAATAACAAGTATTTGCAAATAGCAAAATAAAAAGAAAGAAACGGTTTCAGTACAAGCTCTTATACTCGGTATCAAAACAGTCCAAAATAAATCTAGAAGCATGGCAAGTTATAGCTGTGTTAATGATGAAATGCGATATTTACTGTTTAAATTCAGCAGCTGGAAGAATCCCCTTACAAGGAAAATAGAAAATACGTTTACATCCAGACTGCATTACTCTTTGGAAAAATATGACCAATCAGATTTTCGGTATTATTGTTAAAACCTTTTCCTTCACCTCTGCATCATGGTGGTCAACTAAAGCTTTTATTTTCTGGGCACATTCTTCTCCATGTAACAGGAAAAACAGTGAACCTTCAGTGAAAGTAGGCTGCACAGCTAAATGGCCTTCTATTTTGAGGCAGTTATTTATATTCTGAAATAGTGTAAGTACTCGAAGAAGAATCTCCTTTGCTACGTGGCTGTCATAAAGGGAAAGGAATGATGAATCCACCTGAAATAGGAAACAATGAGTATTATTTTGTATTAATAATATATGAAAACATTTTTCACGTATATTTTAACATCTTAAAATTGCATTGAATAACTCACATATAAAATTTTTAAATTCACATTTAAAATGTGAATATCTCACATTTTAAAAATTTTGTCATAGAAAATTAACCCAAAATTGCATAACTTAGATGTATAAAACCTTATGTATCCCCACGCTGTATACTAATGGAAAAAAGGGAGTGTTTTAGCTGGAAAAATACAATTTCCTTGTAATTTTAGAGTGTGGTTATTTGGGAAAAACAACCATTTTTCTTTTTTAAGATCTGTCATATGGTTTTCATGGGAACTCATTATTTCATCAAACATTTAGTGCCCATACACTAGAGGGCGCAGAGCTGGGTGGGGAACAGGGATGAGCAGATGAATATGATGGTTCCTTTTCTACAGGAGTTAAGCTCCATTCTAGCCCAGCATTCAGACCACTTATCACAGCTTTTAATTACCTTGTTCACTTGTTATATATTTTTGTTTCTCCACTAGACTGTAAGCTTCATGAGGACATGTACCATGTCATGCTGTGCTCACTGGTGTGTCTCATCTAGAGTCTAGCGTATGCTGGGGACTCAGTACTGCTGTTTCAGTGGATACTAAGATACATGTAAACACAAACAGGTCCAGTATAAAAGATGGAATGGCACAATTGTACCCAAAATTGGGTAGAGAAAAAAGTTATAATTTATTGTTGCTAGGGTGAATTTTTAAAAATGTTTTTCAAAAGTAAGTAAAATAGACTCATTGCAAAAAATTTAGGAAATTCATATATACAAAACGAATTTTAAAAATTCTTTAATACTGCTCCTCAGAAAGAATCCCTGTTAACATTTTAGGTTAAATCTTTCCAGATCTGTCTGCTCAAATTTATATATGTATATATTTACAAAATAAACATATAAGCTATTTACTTGGGCATGAAGAAGTCCTTCTGTCATGGCTGGATTTTCAGACAAATTCAAAAGCAGTTTCAAAACTTGCACCTGAAAGAAGATGATACTGGCTTATCTCAGAGTGGCAAGCATGAATTTTCTCTCTCAGGCATGCTTTCTCTTACCATGTCTTCCAGGCCTGGCTCAAATTCTCTCTACTCCAGGAAACCTTCTCTATTCATTCTACTTTAAACGTCTCACTGTGAACTCTTATAACACTTGGCACCAGTCTTAGAGAACCTATCACAGAGCAGTGTTATTTAAACCTCACTTTTCCAATTACACCGTTAGGGAGATACAGAGTATACTGCAAATATCCTGCACTACTCTTAGAGAACCTATCAGAGATAGAGGTTTTCTATCACAGTGTTATTTAAACCTATTTTTTCCCAATTATAATGTTAGGGAGATAGAATATTGCAAATGTCTTCACAATCTACCCCCAACTCACATGCACATCCGAACAGATGGTAAGCTTAACATCTGTTAAATACACGATCTTTATTATGATTACTGTTAAGTGAAGCATGGCCAGGCATGGTGGTGTCGACACGGCCTATAGTCCTAGGTACTTGGGAAGCTCAGGTGGGAGGATCGTTTGAGCTTTCCAACCTTAATGATGTTCAAGTTCAAGGATGTTCAAATTCAAGCTGATTGTGCCTGTGAACAGCCACTGCACTCCAGCCTGGGCAACATAGTGAGACCCTGAGACCCCATCTTCACCCCCCACAAAAAAGAAAGAAAGAAATATAATCTTTAAAACAACAACAAAAAAACTCTCAAAGCTCATTTCTACTTAAAGTATAAAAATTCTGGAACTGTTTGGTTACCAAGACTAAATAAATAACAATATGGCCCCTTTTAGTAAGCTACTATGAATCTTTGAGGCTATCTTTTAATGTGAAAGTGTTTTACAATCATATAAAAAAGCACAGTGATAAAAACTGATTGATGGGTGGGTTGATTGAGATGGGGTCTCACTATATTGCTGAGGCTGGTCTTGAACTTCTGGCCTCAAGGAATCCTCGCACTTTGGTCTCCCAAAGTAACTAGGATTATAGGCATGAGCCACCATGCCCAGCAATGATATAAATAATAAGCAAATAAATGTTATTTAATGGCTGACTAGCTAAAATATCAGCATTCTTATCACTTATAACTGAAAAGTCAGTAATAAAAAGACTCAAATAGAACGCCTCTTTTTAAAAACAAAGGCCATGTGAAACCATACTTTCCACAAGACACCTGGAACTAAAACAAGGAGCACAGAGCGGGGGTACTAACTCAGGGAAATGTGACAAATGTGCTCTTCACTAGAGCTGGGAAGGAACCTGGATATTATTTTGCAAAAATTTTTTATTACAAAGGCAACAGATGTTTACCATAGCACTTTAAAAAAAAATAGAAAAGCACAAAGAAAAAGAAAATTTACCCATATTTACATAACTAGAAATGATCACGGTTAAGTTTCGGTATTTTCGGCCAGGTGTGGTGGTGCATGCTTGCATTCCCAGCACTTTGGGAGGCCAAGGTGGGCAGATAACTTGAGCTCAGGAGTTCAAGAGCAACGTGGGCAACACGGCAAAACCTCGTCTCTACAAAAAATACAAAAATCAGCCAGGCGTGGTAGCATGTGACTGAAGTCCCAGTTATTCGGGAGGCTGAGGTAGGAGGATTGCTTGAGCCTGGGAGCTCAAGGCCGCAGTGAGCAGAGATCATGCCACTGCAATCTAGCCTGGGCAACAGAGTGAGATTCTGTGTCAAAAAAGAGAAAAGTTTTGGTATTTTCTTTTTGATCTTTATGCATATATCCTGTGTACTCACAATTCCTTTGATCATGTTGTAGATACCAATTTATTTGAGGATAACATAATACTTTGCTTAATTTTACTGTTTTTATCAAATATTTCTTTATTTTTAGAAAATTACTACTTGGTCATAACAAAAATTTTAAGTAATGAAAAAGAGAACAAGGTAAAAACAAAAGCCACCATGCTATTGGCCCCTTCCAATCCTCAGCAGTGACCACTGGTAACATTTCTTGAATATGCAGAGATTGTCTTTTTCAAACAGATGCTCTTAATAAATTAAGGTCTCTGGGAGTGAAAGAGTAAAGGAGACTTCTGACCCTTCTTTAGTGCACTCCGTGGAGGTCACTATCAGATCTCATCTGGCCTGACTCGCCGTCAGCAACACTAGGAATAAGTGTTAGAAAAAAAAAAACAAAACACCTGGTTCCAATGTCAATGAAGTTTCAATTAGAAAAATAGGAAGAAGAGGTATGAAATAGGATGGTTCTGAACTTATGAAATAAGCCTGGATGAAGTCAAAATCTGAGACCTACTAATAGTCAATGAAGGCAGGTATACAACCAGGGAATAGCAACAGCAATAGCTATTTGGTACCCTGTATTAAAATCTGATGTTGCTACTCTTTGTAGAAAGGAGTTAAATATGAGAAATATATGTATATATACATACACACACACACACACACACATATACAGTTAGAGTACAACTACAGATTAAACAAATATACAGATTTTGATTTGAAACCATATTGACATGTTTTTTTTTTTCCTCATCACATGCACCATCTTGTGGTGACACTAGGACATTTTAAACCATTAGTTTCGTTTTCATTGCGGATGTAACAAGCACACAGTTTATTTATGTTAATCCTCCGCTATCTGCATTTGGTTATCAATCAGTGGTGTACCCAAAAGGTTATCACAGTACAGTGAGATCCCTGACTTAAGCAAAGTAAGATATTTTAAAATTCATTTTAGTGGTTATTTACTAAGAAAATACCTAAATCAGACATACTTTCCCACTAACAAATGGATGACTATCCAAAAGTTTATTTGCAAGTTAGAACTTTAAACTCAATTTTTATGGAAAATCAATGTTGTAATTGGTGGCTATGTTCCAAGGCAGACCAAGAAAGCAAATTTTCTATCCTAGAAATACTGTACTAGCAATGTAATGGAAAAACACAACACAACAAAACAAAAATAGAACATACTATTGTGGTGTGGGTCATCTTTTAAAAAATCAAAAAATACATGAAAATGCAGACCATGTCTGAGACAGATATATACAGCCCCAAGGCCAGACTCGCCTGGCTGAACTCAGCCTGACTCTGAACTCAGAGTTCCTCCTGAGGTTCTGGGTAAAGCAGCTGCAGAGTCAGGCAGAGGAGAGATTTCTCCTACAGAGGCAACAACATAAGAGTAAAGAGGGAAGGAGTTTCCACAGGGGTTCAGGGGCTGTAAGTTATCTTGCTCCACTGGAGACAGAGATGTTGATGCATGTTGGAAACTGCCCGGGAATGGTGCAATATTGCTGTAAGACTCTTACATTTAATTTTCAATACCTTTGGTACATCTTGGACCAGATCCAAACAAGTCTGGCTACTGGAAAAGAGAAAAGTCCACGTACAAACACCTTGGAAACATAAAAGCAAGACTACAGTAAAACTCTCCTGTAACATCTTGATAACCTCAAAAATAACTGCAGTGATGTTGAATATTTGGAGTATGGCTTCACATTTGGTCTTTCTAAAATGCTTATGCATTTGTCTCTCAACTGTTCCAGAGAACACAGAGCAACATGGTAAAAAGCCTTGATGAACAATCAACCCAACTTACCAGAACTTTTAATTAGCCTACAATCTATTTTTATGCTACTTTTTCTTGAAAAATGGCAATTGATAAGAATGCACGCTAATATGAGAGATTTACTCAAGAATCTTTTTATAGGGCATCTCCTAAGGTCCTACTTAATTCAGCTCAATATCTGTTGCCTCTTATATCAACCTAACTGGACAGAGTGAAGCACTGAGACATCTTTCATTCATTCAATTCACTTCATTTACTACAACTTAAAAGTTGTTTTAGAAATATTTTTCAACAAATAACTGAATCAAAAAAATGATTTGTGAACCCCAAGGTAAGTAAAATACTCAACTAACCACTACTATTATTCAAAGACTCCTTTTAATCACAATGTTCCTATATTTGGTGGGGGGAAAGCTAGCTTCTGAGAAAACCAAATGAACATGAATCTGCTGATAAGTGAAACAACAGATGATCTTCACAAGTTAATTTCGCAATGGAGTATTTGGGACTAAATATACTTTCTTGGGCCCATGTGAGTTTTTAATAAATCTTCCTCTTCTTTGAGGCACATTAACTTAAGATAGGTGGCCTGCAAATACGATTTCAATGTTAATAAGCTTGACACAATAGCTCTTCATACCTTCGTGTTTCCATTTCCAGTAAGTAATACCTGGAACAGGTCTGTAATGTAATTGTGAAGCATGTGCTGGTGGTCATTGGTAACAGTCATGTTTGTCAACAATCTCAGTCCGGCCAGCTGCACAGCAGAGTTCAGAGGACCAGAGAAGACATCCTCACAGACTTGATTGATGTATATCTGAAAGCAGGGGAGGAATATGAGCATCTTAGAATCTCCAAAATTTTTCTACTGAACAGTCACTTTTCTGCACAGTGGAGTAAGGCTACTGCTCAGGATGGAACTGACTCCTCAAAAAATATGACATTTCTATCTGACCCTCAAATGTTGTTGACTTTTTAAAAGCTTCCTTTGGTAATTCCAGGCACAGTGCTTAGCATTTTACAAATACTCCTCACTTAATCCTGAAGACAACTCTAATGAGGTGGGTGTTACACCATTACAGCTTTCTTGCAGACAAGGACTTTTAAGTCTTTGAGGAGCTCGGGTCCCCTGCGCAATGTCAGACAGCAGGTGGGGATGCAATAGCCAAGCCCAGAGATCATGCTCTTAACAGCAGTGGCTTCTCCCTGGCTGGAGGCCTCCCAGCTTAGTCCACCTTTCTGTTTCAACTGGTCTGTGCACACTAGGATCAGGGAAGATGAGAGGCCATTTTGTGTCACGGTAAGTACCTTAGCAGTAGTGTCTAGAGAGCTACATCATTTCTGAAGTAAAGAATGGGAGGATAACGTGAAACAGAATCTTTCCCTAGAATTAATCCTATCAAAAGTAAGCAGAACAAAATTATACTTGGCCTAAGGTTCTTATTTACCTAGGTGTGTGTATATATATATGTAATTCACCCCTTCATAATATTGTTAACTATCACTGGTAAAAAGTAATGCAATGCTGTAGTACTCCTGTATCATATATCACAGAACTAAACTCAGTGTGATGGAAACTTTTCTGAAACTCTATTTTCTGTGTCTGGCCATGAGCTTTCTTTTTTTCGGGGGGACAGGGTCTCACTGCCGCACAGGCTGCAGTGGCACAAACTCCGCTCACTACAGCCTTGACCTCCCAGGCTCAAGTGATCCTCCTGCCTCAGTCTCCAGAGTAGCTGGGACTACAGGCGTGAGCCACCATGCCCAGCTAATTTTTGTATTCTTTGTAGATACAGGGTTTCACCATGTTGCCCAGGCTGGTCTCAAACTGTTGAGCTCAAGCAATCCGCCTGCCTCAGCCTCCCAAAGTGCTAGGATTACAGGTGTGCACCACCATGTCTAGCCTGGCCATGAGATTTCTAGCTTAAAAAAATGATGTTTTACAGATAACTGCTATTCACGTAAGCAAATCTGAACTCCACCAAAAGTTCTAACTGCTAAGAAAATTTTCCTAATTTGAAGTGGTAAGAAGTTAGCAATTGTCCCATAAACAATTATTAATTTTTTAAAAACCCCAAATGTATCCATGTTACCATAGAAACTAAATGGCAGTAAAGCAAAGAGAGATTAAACTTTTAATCTGGTTTCAAGATCTAAATTACATTTATTTTTAGAGACAGGATCTCACTCTGTCACCCAGGCTGAAGTGCAGTGGCATGATAACAGCTCACTGCAGCCTCAAATTCCCCTGTCTCAGTCTCCTGAGTAGCTGGGACTACAGGTGCATGCCACTATGCCCAGCTAATAAATTTTTTTTTTTTTTTTTTTAGAAATAGGGTCCCACCTAGTCTGGCCAACATGGTGAAACCCCGTATCTATTAAAAATACAAAAAATTACAGGCATGGTGGTGGGCACCTGTAATCCCAGCTACTCAGAAGGCTGAGGCAGGTTTCTTGAACCCAGGAGGCAGGGGTGGTAGTGAGCTGAGGTTGCACCACTGCACTCCAGCATGGGCAACATGAGTGAGACTCCCAAAACAAATAAATGGGGTCTATGTTGCCCAGACTGGTCTTGAACTCCTGGCCTCCAGCAATCTCCTGTTTTGGCTCCCAAAGTGTTGGGATTACAGGTGTGAGCCACCACACCTGGCTGTCATTTACATGTGAAAGTCAACTGGTTCTCTTGGGTTACAATTTAATTATACATCCATCCTTTAAAAACAGGGCATTTCTTTAGCTCTTTATAAATCATATATTTCTGTAAGAAGCTGATGTCTTTCAAAGCATTTCCTAAAATGTGTGGACTGTTTACAACCTTATTATATCTGAATCTTCTGACCATTTCAATTCTAATAACAAGTTTACCAAAGGGACAGCTTAGTTATTCCTGTAGCTGTGTCCACCTCATCTTGTTCTGTTCTCTTGGAATTCTCTCCTTCCCCAATTCTACCTGTAGAGTAACATTCTCAAGAGCCAGGTCAGACTCCACCTCTTACAGAAACTTTTGGATCAAATCTCTCCTTTCTATGTACTCAATAATGTTTTACTTACATTTTTCCTTAAAGGACTTCATTATGTTCTGCCTTGACTTACAATTATTTAAGAACTTGCCTTATCCTTCCTTCCACCTTTCTTAGAACAAGAGTTGCGTCATGCTCATTTGCACCACAAAGCAGGAGTTTGATAAATATTGAATTGAAATAACATAATTTCCTAATATTGCATTTTTCTGCTGACATTATCTGACCCTGACCTGGTTCCTTTAGCACCCTTAAACTGAACCCCAACTCCAAAAGTCTTGCTGGCTGCAAAAGTTAGAAGCAGCCTGGCCACCCTCCTTCAGTGGCATATGAAGAAGCTCTTGCAGATTTTGATTCCTACTCTAGAGCTTTTATCTAGATGACCACGGCAACTGAACAGAAGCTGATGAGAGCTATTAGAGTGTTTGAATTTGGTAGACCAGAAGTCCTGAAACTCAGTCAGATGTTGCAGTACCAATTCCAAAAGACCATTAGGTGTAATCAAGGTTCATGCATGTGGTGTCAACCCTGTGGAGACATACATTTACTATGGCATTTATAATAGAAAACCACCTTATTCTATACTGCTGGCTCAGATGTAACTGGGGTAATGGAAGCTGTTGGAGGGAATGCATCTACTTTCAAGAAAAGTGACAGTTTTCACTACCGGCACAATCTCTGGGAGCCATGTGGAGTATGCTCCTGTAGCAGATCACACTGTTTACAAACTGCCTGAAAAACTGGACTTTTAAACAAAATGCTGCCATTGGTATCCCATATGTTACTGCATATAGAGCTCTGATTCACAGTGTCTGTATGAAATCTGGAGACTGGGTTCTGGTTCATGGGGCTAGTGGAGTTGCTGGAGTAGCAACATGCCAAATGGTTAGAGTTTATGCCTTAAAGGTTTGGGGCCCAGTTGGTATTGAGAGGGACAAAATACTTTTGCACAATGGAGCCCACAAAGTGTTTAATTACGAAGAAGTTAATTATGTTGATAAAATTAAGAAATGTGTGGTAAGAAAGGAACTGATGTGATTATTGAAATAATAGCTAATATAAATCTTAGTAAAGCTGTGAATTGTATGTCATATGGAAGATGAGTAATAGGTGTTGGCAACAGTGGTACTATTGAAATAAACCCACGGGACACTATGGCAAAAAAGTCTAGTAAAATTGTCGTTACTCTATTTTTCCCCAACCAAGGAGGAATCTCAGCAATTTGCAGCAGCCTATCAAGCTGGAATGGAAATTGGTTGGCTGAAACTTGTAATGGGTTCTCACTATATGTTGGAGAGGCCGCCCAGGCTCACAAAAATATCTCTTACGGCAATGGGGCTACTGTAAAAATGATTCTTCTCTTTTGATGATTAATTCTTTCATGGATTTCAGAGGTTGTCTTTTGCCCAGTTTTACTTACACAATCTTTTGTTTAATTAACATTCATTTGATCCAGTGAGTTTCTTATGTGAAAAAAGTAAGATTTTCCTTTGGAGAACTGAGGAAGTACAGTACAATTTATTTTATGGCTGGCAATATATTTTTTACCTTCTATTTCAAATCAAGAAATCTTCATAGTACAAAAGAGCACGCTAGTGGTTTTTTGGCATTGGGGTGCATTCCAGAAATTCTTAACTGATACTTGATTAATTCTATACCTTTGATTAAAACATAATAATTCAAAATAAGGTTCTCAGTTTCCAAGGATGTCCAATCCTACTTACCTTTATAAAGGTTCTTTTGTATCTGATTAGCCATAACTGTATTGGACTTTAAAGATTTTCTGGACTAAAAAAAAACCCCTATTCCAAACTAATCTCATCTGGATCTTTAAGTCTTGTGGAAGGGCAAGAATATATAATTTCCAGGGCACTTTGCTAGTTTTCCAATATTTTCCCAAATATTAGAATATCCACTTCATTGGATGTTCTAATTGATTGTCAATGACACCATATATTCTGTGAGGACAGCAACCTTATCTTTCATATGACACTTGGTACATAGTCTCCAAACTGGTAATACTTCTTGACTGATCAGATTTTCCAAGCAGATTTAGAGTTACCTGTTTGTGTGATGGGGGTCATATATTTTTATTGAAATTAATAAGCTTACCAATTTGACACATTAAGAATGGTCTGCTTTTGCTTCATAGCATAGTAATCTGTAATTCTGTAGAAAATCAAATTTTCTAGTCTAGATAGTACTTGCCTCTCATCACTTCTGCATAGCTCCTCACAGTTACTGCCTAACAGTGTTCTGGGCTGAAAGTTTTTATCTAAACTAAATACAGAGATTAACTCTTACAAATCTTGCCATCAATATTATGTCCAAGGAAATAAAGTTTGGTTATTTGTTGTTTTTTTCTTCACATGAGCACATCCTCCTGTCTCTTGTTTTGTGATTGTCTTGACCTGATTTGTTCTGTTGAATGACAATTTCTGGTTTGAACGTGGGAGTCCTGTTTCAGTAATGAACAGAAAACTGCTCTTTTCTATGACTGAGGGGTATCACTGGGTTCTGGCTATATATGCCATGGCTGAAGTGTTTTAACTGTTAGCATTTACCAAATTAACTATTTTTTTTAACAGGTTAACTGCCTTATAAATAACATTTTTGAAAAAAGCATTAAAGCAATGTCAGTAACGCAGGTTAGCATGTGAATCCTAAAATGAAGGATTTCTCCCCATACAATGACATAAAGGAACAGTTATTCTGTAAAAGTCAGTTTAATCTATTTGCACATTTGCCTCATCCACTGAAAGAGCTAAAGCATACAGTGACTTAACGTTTTCCAATACACTCATATAGTACACTTAATTTCAAAGGCAAAACTAGCCAAACTATATGCATTAACAACCATATTTATGAATATGTAGCACTGGATATGCTCTCTGAATGAATGTCTTGTAATACTAGTTCTAGTTCTAGTTGGCACGAAGTCTTGTCCCAACTTTCAGCCAACTACATTCACTATTTGGTTGGTGCCTATAGCCTTAAGGCTATTACTGTCACCAGTGCCTGTGCCTGATGTAAAGTAGAGGATAACCTGTAGAATAAACAAGCATTATTTTACTGAAACAAAAGTTTTATTGTACCTCTTATTGGCCAGTTCAGGTCCCTCCCTCTTTTGTCTTATTCTCCATTCCTCTAAAGGTAATCCTTGGCTGTAAAATTACAAAGGATAGTCTACTGAAGTTTCATTACTCATGTTTTTGTTATTTTTTCTTTTATTTATAGAAAACCTTATATATTTGGGATTTTCAGTCAACTTACCTTTATCTTGATTTGATTTTCAACATTCACACTCAGGTTATTTAGTGCATTTAAAGCTTTCTCTTTAATACTCTGGTTGGAATGGTTGATTTTGTTTCCAACAATTGGAATACCACCCAATTCACGAATAATAGCCTATGAGGGAAAAACAAAACAAAACAAAACAGGACTGGGACTTCAGTACGCATCTCCGTTCACTGAATTCTTCGCATCCACAAATACAATTAAAAATTAATGGCTTTTTGGAAATATCTTTCCCATATACAAATATTTAATTCAGATTTAAAAAAAATCTCACTACCCATACTTTTATAGGTAAAGAAAATCCATTGAAAACAAAATTAAGATATATAATTACTTAAACTACAGTGTTGAGAAATACAATAAAAATTTACAGAGGTACTATAGCGATCTTGAAGCAACTTACAAATAAAATTATTTTTCTTTGAGATGAGTTATATGACTTCTCCATTATAGGCAAAACTGGAAAAGTGTTACAATTTAGAATACTAAAGTTAGTGTTTTAATTTAGAATACTACAGTAGTGTTTTGCTAACATGTATTATTTGAAACACGAATCCCTCAAAATGTTAAGAGATGTTCCATCAAAATAAGGGGGGGGGTGGTTTCCCATGGTTATATAAGTTTAGGAAAATCTAAGTATAACAAGAGTAAGCATGTTTAATATGTTCATGTGCATTGGGAATCTTGAAGAGGTGTGTGTTGATGATAGTATGTCTATGAACTATACACAAAAAGAGGGTCATTTTTCAGCAGTGGAAATGGTGGGAACGCACTGGTATCTTGCAGAATCAGATTCCACACAGTTTGAAAAATGGTACCCAGGGCCAGGCGTGGTGGCTCACACCTGTAATCCCAGCACTTTGGGAGGCCGAGGTGAGCGGATCGCTTGAGTTCAGGAAGTCGAGACCAGCCTGGCCAACATGGTGAAATCCCATCTCCACTAGAGATACAAAAATTAGCCAGGCGTGGTGGCTGGTACCTGTAATCCCACTACTGGGGCGGTTAAGGCAGGAGAATCGCTTGAACCTGGGAGGAGGTTACAGTGAGCCAAGACTGCGCCACTGCAATCTAGCCCGGGCAACAGAGTGAGACACTGCCACAAAAAAAAGAAAAAAAAAAAAAGAAGAGAAATGGTACCCAAATATTCAGAGGAAAAATAATCTGGGAGTTCTTATAGGTAGTTGCAATAATATGTTACCACGTACCTTTGCCTAAACATTGAAAGAAATAAACTGCTTTAATTCTTGTAAGAAAAACATGCTAAAAATGATTCTTGTCAAGTCAAGACATGCTATTCTAGCAGGAAAAAAGAAAAAGATTGCCATCATTTATCTACTTTTTACAAATAGCTCAATACTCCATTTTACCGTTAAGGGTGATCTTAGCATTAAAAGAGAAATAAACTTTCCCTTTACAATTTCAAGTTCTTTTAAAGGACTTGCAGTTACTAGAAAGGTTTTTTTTTTTTTAAACTGTACTGTTAAAGCAGATTAAGGTACTACAATTGATGGTGTGGGCACTGACCCCTGCTCCTCAAGAAAGTACTTCTTCTCCAGGGGGTACTGGCCTACTCTGACTGCAACTTATTTTAGGGGAATACAAAATTATGCCATCAGAAATACTCCTTTAAAGGTAGGCTAACACATTAATCACTAGCTATTGTTTTTGCTTGTCTAGTGGCCCTCTTTCCACGGGGGCAGATGTGGCATCTCCTTTGTTCCACACAATCCCTGCTGGGATTGTTGTTCACTTGTATTCACAGCCATCCCTGCTACTTAGCTGTAGGCTGCTCATGTGAACCAGGCTTCATAAACATGGGCGATGGTCCCTTGATTGATCCAGAGATTGCCCCAGAGACTGATCCAAAGAGCACTGGATCCTAGAAGAACAACTGTACCTTTTGGATCATGAGCTACAGAGATGAAGGCTTAGAGAGGCTAGTGGCTTTCTTTCAACCCTTGTGAAGAAAACCACTTTGTGGCCAGAAAGATAAAGACCAATACATAAAATTGAGCGGCCATAAGCAAAGCCAAGAGGTAGAGAAAGAGAGAACTCTGGTAACTCTTTCTGCGACCTTGAACTGGACTCAGTTGTATCTGAAATCTGCTATTCTTTGCTGTCTAAGTTAGCTGAGCTCAATATTTTCCCTTTAAAGCTTAAAATAATTTAAGGTGAATTCTGTCATTTATAACTGAAAGAGTAGGTAATACACAAAGATTCTCTACTTCTCTATACATCTATAGAGCTTTACAGTAAACCTTGCCATTCTGGAGAAAGCTGGGCTAAAAATACAATAAATTCAAAATAATTTTGTACTTATGACAATGTTAACAAAGGGCATTAGCTGAAAACAATTACAATTTTTTTTTTTTAACTATTTTCTCATGCTGGACGGTTGTCAGAAAGAGTAGGAAGAAGGACATGTTCAAATTAAGCTCTTTAGTCTTAGTTTTCAGTCTCCATTTGCAGGAGCCATTTACACTGATTAGTGGTTATCAGAGTGTGCTCCAGGGACCACCTGCATCAGAATCATACTCAGACCTATATATAATTTAAAGTATGTACTTAAATGTTAGATGCATTTATTGTTTTACTGAAGCACTGCTAAATTTTAAATAATTTAGAAGGCCATGAAATGCTAAATGTTCATCAGATATACTTACGAATGTGATGCCAGTGACCAACTTCATAGGGATCTACAATCACATTAATAATCATATTATTATTAGGCTGTGTTTTTCAGAAGTAAACATGTTTTAAGTATAAGTAGCCACATTGCACAGATGAGAAAATTGAAGCTCTGAGAGGTTAAGTAATTTATTCAGGGTCACAATTACTACTAGTGTGTAAGAATGGAAAGAGCCTGCTTGCTGAGTTGAGGTACTTACTTGGTTAACTGAAAAGGCTGCATTGTTACCCAAAGTAATCAAAGCTCTTTCAATAATTACAGGATCCTCAGTCGACTCCAGCAGGTAAAGGAGTTTCTGAAGTTGTGCAGCATTTAGAACATCATCGTATGAACCATCAGTTAAGTCTTCTGCATAAGAAGAAAGTTATTTGAAGTTAATCTAAAATCAATATGAGTTTTTTTTTTTTTTTTTTTTGAGACAGAGTCTTGCTCTGTTGCCCAGGCTGGGGTGCAGTGGCCGGATCTCAGCTCACTGCAAGCTCCGCCTCCCGTGTTTACGCCATTCTCCTGCCTCAGCCTCCCAAGTAGCTGGGACTACAGGCGCCCGCCACCTCACCCGGCTAGTTTTTTGTATTTTTTAGTAGAGATGGGGTTTCACCGTGTTAGCCAGGATGGTCTCAATCTCCTGACCTCGTGATCCACCCGTCTCGGCCTCCCAAAGTGCTGGGATTACAGGCTTGAGCCACCGCGCCCGGCCCCGAGATTATTTTTGAGACAGGCTCTCACTCTGTCACCCAGGCTGGAGTGCGGTGGCATGATCATGGCTCACTACAACCTTGATTTCCTGGGCTCAAGTGGTCTTCCCGCCTCAGCTTCCCAAGTAGGTAGGACCTGTGGTCCTAGCACATGCACCACGTCTGGTTAATGTCTAAAATTTTTTGTACAGATGGGGTCTCACTATGTTGCCCAGGTTGGTCTCAAACTTCTAACCTCAAGCAGTCCTCCTGCCTTGGCCTCCCAAAGTGGTGGGATAACAGTATGAGCCACTGTGCCCAGTCTGTTTTTTTAAATTTTAAAAACAATATCGAATACCTACTTGTAATGGCAGGCACAGTATCAAGCACTTTACATCCTTAGGAAGAAGATACTGTACTACTCTCAATTTACAGCTGGGAAATGTAGGCTTATAGATACCAAGAAATTAGCCAATGGTCACTTGGCATATGGCTGTTAGTAAGACACTTCATGCAAACACTATATACCTCAAATGCTGATAATATTTTCTGTTTCTCCTTTTAAAAACCAGGCACACCCATCCAATGGAACACTTCCCTCTAAACAGATTAATTAGGAAATATGATTTGCGTTAAGGAGATCTTTTCTGAGCACATCAGATAGAAGGAAAGCTATGGGAGTAAACCAATCTTTTTGCTAGTGTAGCATTTTTGTTTGATTTATACAACAAGGCATGTTGACTAGGATACTAGAATAGTCCTGCTGGTGGTGATGACAAAAGAAAAGCTGACATTCTGAGGAAGAGCTAGGATAGCCAAATGCTGGATCTGCTCAATGATGTTCAGAACTTATGGCTGTACCTTAAAAAAAGTCCTCTTTACAGAAATCACCACAGGAATAACAGAAGCCATTTTATAACACTCTTACTGGGGTGGTTGGGGGGAGGGGAAAGCATAGGGTGAGGAGGAGGTTACACAACAATAGGTGCTACATGATCTCAAATCTGTGTTTTTTTAAGAAAAAACACACGAAATTGTTAGGCTGGGCATAGTAGCTCATCTCTGTATCCCAGCACTTTGGGAGGCAGGAGAATCACTTGAGGCCAGTGGTTCGAGACCAGTCTGTACAACATAACGAGACCCTGTCTCTATTAAAAAAAAAAAAAAAATAAGTAAATAAAAATGTTAAAAGTGGTTATCTTTGGGTAGTGGGATTATGAAGGACTTTTATTTTCTACCCTGTACTCAACAGTACTGTTTTTTTTTTTCCAATAAACATGTATTATTCCAATAAACATGTAACATAAAATAACTAAGTATATTGCTTAAAGAAGAATCACACGCAAAAAATAAATAAACAAAATAAAGGGACAAGTATAGATTATGTATGGGAAACAATATGTGATATGTAATATATAATATGTGATGCCCTGAGGAAGTCAAATAAGAAATGTTAAGAAAATGTCACGGCTACGAAGCCAGAATATTCTCACTACCAAGTCTTAATCGAGACCTTTTACTTTTGAATCCACTGTCGGCCTCATTAACGCCTTATAAAACAGGGTTTCACCCCAAGAATACTTGAAAAGATAAAGGAAAGAATGATAAAAACACAGCTTTTCAGAATGGAAAGAATTTGGAGTTCATTCAAACCTCTCATTTTACACAGGAAGAAACTGTTGCCAGGATTGTTCAAGGATCTGCCTAAAATCACAGCAGTAGCTAGAAGCAGAAACCAGAGAAATGAAAAATCAAAGTTACAAGTAAGTCACTTACTATTTTTTGGGGTCTCAGTTTTCTCATCTGTAAATAAAAGGGTTTGCTTAATACTGTAACTGGCTCCAGAGTTTCCTACATAGCCCTGAAGTTGTATGATTTCATATACACACGCATACATACATGTGCACATGCATGGCAGAAATGTGATAAATTTAACTCATCCGTATTTGAGATATTTCAAAATCATACTACTTTGTTACATGTTATCTCATAAAGTCATTTTTAAAAAGCTTACAGACTGGGTGCGGTGGCTCATGCCTGTGATCCCAGCACGTTGGAGGCTCAGGCGGGCGGATCACTTGAACTTAGGAGTTTGAGACCAGCCTGGCCTCAGAGATGGGGAAACCCCATCTCCACTAAAAATAGAAAAAAATTAGCCAGGCGTGGTGGAGGATGCCTTGTAATCCCAGGTACTTGGGAGGCTGAGGCAGGAAAATTGCTTGAGCCTGGGAGGCGAAGGTTGCAGTAAGCCAAGATTCCCCCACTGCACTCCAGCTTGCGTGACAGAAGTGAAACCCTGTTGTTTTTTGTTTTTTTGTTTTTTTTTTTAAAAAAAAAGAAAGAAAGAAAAAAACGAAAAAGCTTATAGATGTATAAATTCTTTATAAATAGCCATTTAAAATTTCTCTAGGGATTAAATCACTGAAAGTAAAATTTCATGGTGTTATATCATAGAACTTTCACTTGGTGGGAAGAGGCACAGTGTGGTAGTTAAAAGTAAGGCAAGGCTATGGAGCCAGGTTGTTTAGTTCAAATTCCCAAATAAGCTACTTACCAGGTAAGAGACTTAGGCTCTCTCAGCTTCAGTTTACTCATCTGCTAAGTGGGAGTTAATAGTGCCTACCTCAAAGCACTTTTGTACCTAGAATATTTAAAGTGCCTAAATGGGACACAGAGTCGATTAATAGCAAAAGTGGCTTTAGAATCCAGATCTTTTTACTCCTACATTACTTATTCCCCCCAACCATTATTCCTCCTAGTATATTAAAAAAAATGAGCCTAGCCAGGTGCAGTGGCTCACGCCTGTAATCCCAGCACTTTGGGAGCCTGAGATGGGTGGATCACGAGGTCAGGAGTTCAAGACCAGGCTGGCCAAGATGCTGAAACCCTGTCTCTACTAAAAATACAAAAATTAGCCAGACATGGTGGCACGTGCCTGTAATCTCAGCTACTCGGGAGACTGAGGTAGGAGAATTGCTTGAATCCAGGTGGCAAAGGTTGCAGTGAGCCGAGATCGCGTCACTGCACTCCAGCCTGGGCCACAGAGCAAGACTCCGTCTCAAAAAATATAGAATAATAATGATAAGAATAATAATAATGAGCCTATATTTTAACTTTGTAAATTCTGTTTGAATTTCTAATAATAACCATATATTGGCCTGGCACGGTGGCTCACACTTGTAATCCCAGCATTTTGGGAGGCCAAGGCAGGCAGATAACTTGAAGTCAGGAGTTCGAGACCAGCCTGGCCAACATGGTGAAGCCCCGTCTCTACTAAAAGTACAAAATTAGCCAGGAGTGGTGGCACATGCCTGCTGTCCCAGCTACTCAGGTGGCTGAGGCAGGAGCATCGCTTGAACCTGGGAGGCAGAGGTTGCAGTGAGCCGAGATCGCACCACTGTACTCCAGCTTGGGTGACAGAGGAAGACTCCATCTCAAAACAAAAAAACAAAACAAAACAAAAACCATGTATTGCTTTTTAGTAAAGAAATGTAAAACTTAAAACTCCAAATAAATTTTACAGGAGGGTGATCATCAAATACTCAGCTCTTCCACTGGTGAGTTTTTGGACTACTATTACACAGGTGAGGCAGTCAAACACCATGTGTTCTACTTCCCATCTAGCTTTGTGCCAACAAGATTGTGAAAGAAAGGCTCAGTGTCGTTGTCTCCTCCAGTAAATCAAGGAGAAATTACAATTCTCAAAGGGAATGAAAAGTAACTACCACATTATAACACAGCAAGACAAATTTCAAGATAACTGTCATGGTTCAGAATCTTTCCAACTGTGAACACAGTATGTCTGTTTATGTAGTCTTAGGCCCTTCAGTAAAATTATCTTCTCACTACAGAATTCCTAGTTTTTAAAGTGAATTCCTAATTTTTAAAGTGTTTACAGCTATCATGAATGATATGTATTTTTTGAAACAGGGTCTCATTCTGTTAAAATCTTTTCAACTAAAGTTTTAAGTTGTTACTGCATGTATACAAGAAGTTATTGGTCTGGGTATATTGACTTGTACTCAAGATATTCTATAAACTCATTGCTTCTAGTAGTTAGTTAATTCTCTTGGATTTTTCCAAGTAAATCATTATGCCTCCTACAATTATAATTCTGCCTCCTTTCTAATGTTTATACATGTTGCTTTTTTCTTATCAAGTTATGACTCCAGAAGAATGTTGAATAATAGCTGTGAGAGCAGACACTGTTGTCTTGTTCTTGAGTTTAATAAGGATGTCTTTAATAGGATAACAGTGTGTCTATTAAATATAATATTTGCTTTCGGGTTTTGATGGATGCACTTCATTAACTTAAGAACATTTCTTTCTATTTATTCCTAACTTGCTGCAAGTTTTTATCAGAAATGATACAATTTTTTTTCCTTTCTTTTTGTTCAGAGTCTTTGGCTATGGAAAGAAATAATATTTTAATGCCTTTTTACTATGAGGTCATCATGTGGCTTTTCCTTTTTCTAATATGACTCCTCCTTCCATGTCCATTTGGCCTTGGTATGTTATTACTTTAATCCCTTGATAGATTTGATTTGCTAATATTTTAAGATTTTATATCTTTATTTGTAGTTGAGACAGATTTATACTTTTTCATACTATCCTTGTCAAGTTTTGGCATTAGACTGTTGGATGAATTGGGACTGTTTCCATCTTTTTCAATGCTCTCAAACCATGTTAGTACAAAAATTATTTTTATTTTATTTTATTTTATTTATTTATTTTTTGAGAAGGAGTCTTGCTCTGTCGCCCAGGCTGCAGTGCAGTGGCCAGATCTCAGCTCACTGTAAGCTCCGCCTCCCGGGTTTATGCCATTCTCCTGCCTCAGCCTCCCGAGTAGCTGGGACTATAGGCGCCCGCCACCTCGCCCAGCTAGTTTTTTGTACTTTTTTAGTAGAGACGGGGTTTCACCGTGTTAGCCAGGATGGTCTCCATTTCCTGACCTCGTGATCCGCCCGTCTCGGCCTCCCAAAGCGCTGGGATTACAGGCTTGAGCCACCGCGCCTGGCCTTTATTTTATTTTTTAAGATAGAGTCTTGCTCTTTTGCTCAAGCTGGAGAGCAGTGGCACAATCACAGTTCACTGCAGCCTTGACCTCCTGGGCTCAAGGGATTCTCCCACAACAGCCTCCTGAGCAGTTGGGACTTCAGGTGTACACTACAATGCCTGGCTAATTTTTGTATTAAATTAGGGGTTTCACTATGTTGCCCAGGCTGGTTTTGAACTCTGGGCTCAAGCGATCCTTCCACTTCAGCCTCCCAAAGGGATTAGAGGTGTGAGTTTAAAACAAAGACAAGATTGCCACTGCACTCCAACCTGGGCAGAGCGAGACTCTGCCTCAAAAACAAAGAAAAGATCATCTTCTGAAATCTAAGCGTGATGATGACTGTATTAGTCCATTCTCATGCTGCTATGAAGAACTGCCCAAGATTGGGTAATTTATAAAGGAAAGAAGTTTAATTGATTCACAGTTCCACATGGGTGGGGAGGCCTCAGGAAACTTACAATCATGGTGCAAGGGGAAGCAAACACTTCCTTCTTCATAGGCAGCAGGAAAGAGGAGTGCGGAACAAAGGGGGAAGCCCCACATAAAACCATCAGATATCCTGAGAACTCACTATCATGAGAACAGCATGGGGCGGGGGAACTGCCCCCATGATTCAATTACCTCCCACTGCGTCCCTCCCACGATGTAGGGATTATGGGATTACAATTCAAGATAAGATTTGAGCTGGGCACGGTGGCTGATGCCTATAATTCCAGCACTTTGGGAGGCTAAGGCAGGCATATCACTTTGCCAACATGGTGAAAACGTGTCTCTACTAAAAATACAAAAAAAATTAGCCAGGCACGTGGTGTGCACCTGTAATATCAGCTACTCCGGAGGCTGAGGCAAGAGAATCACTTGAACCCGGGAGGCAGCGGTTGCAGTGAACTGAGATCATACCACTGCACTCCAGCCTGGGTGACAGAGTAGGACTCTTTCTCAAAAAAAAAAAAGATTTGGGTGGGGACACAAATCCAAACCATATCGATGATGAAATGAGCATTTCTTAAGTCTTCTTCAGTGATAAAGGTGTAGCTTCAGGAAGAAGGGACTGTGAGCAAATTATTTTTTAAGCTGCCTTACCTAAGATAATGATGATTATGGGAACTGGTAAATTTAAGTTTAAAAGACTTTGTCCACATTCGTCAGGTTGAGTCAGTAAAACTGAGAAGATATCTGAGTCTAGGACACCTTCCCAATGTACTTATACAAAAATACTTCTGACATGGGAAAGACAACAAATTAGGCTTTGTAAATGCTATGATTTGAATGTCTCTTGCAAAACTCATGTTGAAACTTAATTCCCAATGTGGCAGTATTGAGAGGTAAGGCCTTTAAGAGGTGATTGCATCATGAGGGGTCTGTCCTCATGAATGAATTAATCCATTAATTATGGATTAATAATCATAATCATGGATTAATGAGCAGGACTGGTGGCTTTATAAGAACAAGAGACCTGAGTCAGCATGTTAACACACTTGCCCCTCTGGCCTTGGGATGCCCTATGCCACAACAAGAAGGTCCATACCAGCTACGGCCCCTCAATCTTGGACTTCTCAGCTTCCATAACTCTAAGAAATAAATTCCTTTCTTAATAAATTACCCAGTTTCAGGTATTCTATTATAAGCAACAGAAAATGGACTAATACAGTAAGAGTAAATACAAATCTTAAAAAAAAAAAAAAAAAAAAAAAAGCTGAATTATACCTAGTGCCAAAAGTGAAAGAGACCTTCCCCTTCCACTCCCTTTTCCTTAAAGCAGTCCCTCATGCAAACTTGTAATTACAAATCCTTTGTTGGCCAGGTGAGGAGGCTCCATCCTGTAATTACAGCACTTCGGGATGCTTAGGCAGGAGGACTGCTTGAGCCAAGTTCAAACCAGCGTGGGCAACAACACGGTGAAAACCTGTCTCTTAAAAAAATACAAAAATTAGCCAGGTGTGGTGGTGTGCGCCTGTAGTCCTAGTTACTTACGGGGCTCAGGTGGGAGGAGCCCAGGGAGGTGGAGGCTGTGATTGCGCCACTGCACCGAGCCTGGGTGACAGACCGAGTTCCTGTCTGAGAACAAAACAAAACTCCTTTTCCTGTTTCTTTTGATACAAATGTAAATCTTTTTAAAAGCGAAATAAGCACTTGGCCAGTTTTACAGCCCAAGAAAGTCTTTCTTAAAAGCTTTGGAGCCTACTGTTTGAAGAAAGCCTACACTTTGAAACCTACTCTTCCAGGAAGATAGAGCCCCAATCTCCCCAGCTCTGTGAGTTTTTAGCCTGGGCACCTGGTTCCACATCATAAAGACATTTTTACTTTTCCTCTGGATAAAGGCAATTAGATAACAACCACCCCAATTACCAGTAAATTTAGGATAAACTACATGTAGTGAATGGTACTGTCAAGTCATCTTACTTAAGGACAAATTAGTTTTTATCTTGAGAACACGTACGTAATACGAAATCGGTTCTATCTGTCCAGCTACACTTAAAGGAATTAGAATTCTTCTTGCTATCCCATTAGCAAATTGCCCGTGATGCTTGAGACAATCTAGTTTGTGCTTACTCAACAATGAAGCTGTTTAGTTCTCTTCTACAATTGTGGACAGGAGTTTCTTGGATGGCAGATATGTTATTTTAAATTATTTCCCTAACGGCTTCCATGATGTGAAACATGCCTCTGGAGGGTTTTACCGTACCGATCAACTTTTGGACAGAAACCGAATCGGGCATTTGTCCGCTGGGAGGGTGTGTCTCGCGCAGACAACTGTTCCCATTTCCAAAACACACACCAGGCTGGGAGGTCTTGGATCACTGTGACTCCCAGGTACCTCCCCTCTGAGGCCGGGCCGAGCGCCCGCACAACTGCCCCTCTGACGTCCCTTCTTCCAGGATACTTGCAAGCAGAGCTTCACTTATGGCTCCGGGCCCCTCAACAGCCCTTCCACAATCGGCAGAATCCCTTTAATTACACAAAGGCCCGGAACAAGCTTTAAAGTGAGAGGCCATCAACAGGCTTTTAAGAAACCTAATCCTCCACTGTGACGCAAAGCTCAGGCAGGAAAGCCAGGACAAGTTTTCATATCAGGATAGTGAACAAAGAATGGGCGGCGGGGGCGGCGCAGCACTATGCACCCACACAAGTACTGCCTCTCCCTCTAGCTCGGCTCCTCATTTTACCCCGAGGACACGCAAGCCACCACCCAAGCCCGGGGAGCCCCCCTGCCCAGTCCCCGCCCACCTGCCGGGCACCCCGCGGTCTCACCTGCAGACTTGGAAGGGCGCATCCCGAGCTCG